AAGGCAATTCCAAAGAATGCTCAAACTAACACAAAGATGCACTCATCTCAAATGCTAGCAAACAAATGCTCAATCTTCTCCAAGCCAGGTTTCAAAAGTACATAAACTGTGAACTGTGACATGTTCAAAGTGGCTTTAGGAAAGGCAGATAAAACAAAGGTCAATTTTCCTACATGATAAATATCAACAAAGTAAGAGGGTTTCAGAAAAACAGCTATTTCTACATCATTGACTATGCCAAAGCCTTTCACAGTGTTGATCACATTAAGCTGTGAAGAATTCTGAAAGAGATGGAAATACCAGACCACCTGACCTGCCTCTTGAGAAACCTGTATGCAGGTCAGGAAGCAACAGTTAGAACTGGGCATGGAACAACAGACTGGTTTCCAAGAGGAAAAGGGGTACATCACAAATGAATATCCTCACCCATATTATTGTAATTATATGCACAGCATATCTTGAGAAATATGGGCTGGATGGAGGACAAGCTGGAATCAAGAGAATCTTGTCATGAGAAGTATCAATAACCTCTGATATGCAGAATACATCATCTTTAGAGCAGAAAGTGAAGAAGAACTAAAGAGCCTGGTGCTTAAATGAAAGTGGAGAGTGAAAAAGTTGGCTTAGAGCTCATCATTCAGACAATGAAGATCACAGCATCTGTTCCCATCAGTTCATGGCAAATAGATGGGAAAACTTGAAACACCTGTAACTTTTTTTTTTCCTCTGTTCTTTTGGTCTCCAAAATCCCTAGAGATGGTGATTGCAGCCATGAAACTAAAAGACGTTTACTCCTTGAAAGGCAAGCTGTGGTCAACACAGAGAACATATTAAAAGACAGAGACATTACACTGGCAACAAGATCCATCTAGTCAAGGCTATCATTTTTTTCAAGTAGTCATATGCACTTGTTTTCGTTGAAGTATGAAGAAAGCTGAGCACTGAAGAACTGATGGTTTTGAACTGTGGTGTTGAAAAAGACTCTGTTGTGTCCCTTCGACTGCAAGGAGATCCAACCAGTCCAACCTAAAAGAGATCAGTGCTAGGTTTTCATTGAAGGACTGATATTGAAGCTGAAATTCCAGTATTTTAACCATCTGATGTGCAGAGCTTACTCACTTGAAAAGTTCCCAATACTGTGAAAGATTGAGGGCAGGAGGAGAAGGGGACGACAGAGGATGAGATGGTTGGATGGCATTACCAACTAAATGGAGATGAATTTGGGTAAAAGCCAGGAGTTTGCGATAGACGGGGATGCTTCTGGGGTCCAGCCTCAGCAGGATCCAGGGGTATCCTCAGGATAAACGGCACTGGCGAGACAGAGAGAGAGAGACAGAGACAGTGAGACAGAGACAGAGAGACCAGGCTGGGGGTGTGCAGCAGTGTCTGGCAAATATGTATTTTTTACTGTAGCTTTTATACTTTAAGTTAGTACATTTTTAAGGGGAGAATAGTTTAATATTACATCAGCTTGTCCTTCACAAAACCAGGGTGTTTCTGCACACTTGTTTGTTAAAGTCTTTTACATCATCTTCTGGCTTTGTGGCCTACTGACATTTTATGAACTAGGTGAATGCAAAGTTGTTTTCTCTAATCTATTCTTTATTGAACACAAAGGTCAGTCTTTTCGCAGAAATTATCAGTTAACTTTTCTAAGTTTTACCACACTAAGACTCTGCAGCTCCAGTGAGGCAGCCCTAGGACATGGAAGCAACCTAGATGCCCATCAGCAGACGAATGGATGAGGACGTTGTGGTACATATACACCATGGAATATTACTCAGCCATTAAAAAGAATTCATTTGAATCAGTTCTAATGAGATGGATGAAACTGGAGCCCATTATACAGAGCGAAGTAAGCCAGAAAGATAAAGAACTAGTGCCTTTTCTTTTCTTGTTGTTTCTTTGTTTGTAGGAGCTGTCAATGACCTTTTATATATTCCATAGATATAGTCTTCCTAGTTGATAGTGTGGATTTAATCTGAAGTTTGTATACTTGGTTGAAAAGTTCTGGGGCTTCTCCTTAGCTATACTGCTGCTGGGTTTGAATTGTGGTTTTCTTCCATCTCTGCATGTGGTTTGTCCATTGGGATTTGCTCCTGAGGTGGCCGTGGAGGCTTTGGGTTTGCCCGAGTGAGGGCCAGGTGTGGAGGTGTTGAGGCTGCTTTGGTCCCAGGGGTTCTGACATGGCCAGCGACTCAGGAGTTTGGCGATTAGGACAGTAGGTAATATAGTGCTCTAGAAGGGTATGGCAATTAGTATTGGCCACCACACTCCAGTATTCTTGAATTGAGAACCCCCGCCCAGATAGAGAATCCTGTCACAGTCTACAGGGTAGAAAAGTGTCTGACACTACTGAAGAGGCCCTGAGAGCAAAGATGCAAGAGTCTTTAGCTGTGGCAGCTCTGCCCGAGTGAGAGTTGAGCATGAAGGTGACACAGCTGCTTGGCTGGTGGGGACCCTGGAAGTGCTAAGTGTCCACGACTTGGACTGCTTCCACTGCAGGAATTATGGTGCTATCGGAATCTTTCTTTGAGCCTATTGTAGCTGGAAATCAAAGGCCTCTTTGGCTAGTATTTCTCCATAGTTCCATTCATTCAGGCACTTCAAGAGTTCTCTTGTCTGGGGTCCTTCTCTGTTGTTGAGCATGCAGAAAAATAGAGGGTGGCGCCCCAGGATGGGGCCCTATTCTGTAGTTTGGAGTGTCAGTCACTTAAAGGAGCACCCTGGGTGGAGTCTTACTCAGTAGTTCAGTGATTCAAGTCCTTGATGAGCCAGCCTCTCTATTATTCAGTTGTGATGAAGGCATGTGGGGAGCAAGAGGCTAGGGTGATGGCTCCACCCCCTATACATGACTCAGTAGTGTCACCTTCCTTCCATGGCTGTCTGGGGCTTACCTCCACAAGCTTTTCCCACAAAATCTCCTCATTTGAACACTCCATCAATTTGTCTCTAACCAGTAGACAGCGGACCACGGGCAGGGATTTCTCCACAATCTCTATGAACCATCTGCTACCTGCTGCACCTTCTGCAGGACCTCTGTCCCTCTCTGGGGTGTGAATGGCTGTGCAAAGGACTGTCTCATTCTCATTCCATTTAGGCTGTCACAGATCAGCTGTTTCAGTCTCATCCTTAAATGTTTCTCCTCTGATCCAGATAGTTGCTCCCATGTGGAGATCCGTCATCTATTTCAGGTCTCCCACCCGCTGAGGGAAGGTCCAGTCCTACAAACACTCATGTTTCCCCCCAGTTCCACCATCCTCCTGATTTTTTGTGGTTCCATATATTATTTCCTCTGTTCATGTAGTCCTGTCTGCTCTCAGCTGAGGTTCTTCAAGCACTTGTGTCTGAAGGTGTATTCCTGATGCAATCTTGAGCAGAGATGTACTCCCTGTACACCTCCACATCCACCATCTCCATCTTCTCAAATTTTGACTATTAGAAATAAAACTGCTATGAACATTCATGTGTGTCCTAGGTCAGTAAGCAACCAGTGGATACTAGGAAGAGAGCACTTCATGGAAACCAATGGCAATCCCACAAAGTCAATAAAGACTGTCTCCCAGGGATACATCTCATGCTGGCTGAACCTCTAGTCAATTAGGAACACAGGGACTGTGGTTAAGCACACAACTCATCCCCCTATCCTCCAGAGCCAACAACCTCAAAGAGAGAACTTAGGAGCTAGATGGGTAGGCATGATTACTCAGTGTTTCCTCCAAGAAGCTGGAAGCTTGTGGTAGCTATTCATGGAAATGAATTCCATCACAGTCTTAACTGTGAGGTAACACACAAAGGAGGCTCTGGAAGGAAAACAGGGTGAGAAATTTGTGAGGGTGCATGTTGAGAAGGCCTTTGCACATGAGCCCCACACACCACTGGGCAAGCTCCACGCCTTCCTTCCTGGGAATGCTAATCAGCCACATGTGGTCATTTCCTTCTTGGGGTCATCCAGCACAACTCAAAGCATACATTTATCTGCCTCATCCACATTACCATGTTAAAACCAAGCCTGGCTGTTATACCTAGGGAAGTGACCATTAGTCCTTGAGTTAAAACAAGACATTGCCAAGTGGATCAAGAGCAAGTGGATGTATTCAGTGCATTCTCACAGCTTGAGGACAGGGGTTTCAAACTGGAGACTAGAAAACTGAGGAGAGCTAGATGAAGACTGAGAAAAGGAGGTGGGGTGAAAAAGGTTTCTCATAAGTAGCCCAGAATTGAATGGTCTTCAAGGTGCATTAACACCAGTTGTAGGAGGAAAGTGAAATCATTCTCATTTCCTCAGGTAGTAATCATGGAGGGATTTGAGACAAGATAACTAAAAGTAGACAATAATGTTAAGTGAGAGAGAATCGAATGAAAGGCTGAAACATGGCTGTGAGGCTCAGTTTGGAAGAGACACACTCTCCCTGACATGTAACCAATCTGTGTTGACTTAGAAATGAAGAAGGCAGGTGAGAGTGGCGGGCTCTTTCGGATCATAAAAAATGCATCATTTCTCCCACCAAATCATCTGAGTTGATCCCCATCCACCCTCAGAGTTTTCAGGATGAGGCTTTGTGATGCCAAGTCTTGTGGAGGGTTGCCATCGGCTGGGGTAGTGACTGGCTGACGCCATAGTCATAAGGGTGTGGCCCCCTATGTATAGGCGTGCTCAGTGGCTCTGGAGCAGACCACTGGGAGTCTAAAATGACTAGGGTGGCCTCGCTGCTCCTGCCCAGTGCGGCGCGCCATGATCTCCATGGAACTGTACGACGTTGAAAGGATCATTGACAAAAGGCAAAACAAGAAACGGGAGACATAGTATTTGGTACAGTGGAAAGGGTAAGCAGGGAGGACGTCACCTGGGAGCCAGAGCAGCAGTTGGTGAACTGCCAAGAGCACATCCACGACTTCACCCAGCATCACACCGAGACGCAGAAGGAGGGCACATTCACCAGAGCCAACCAGACCTCCCTGAACAATGGCCAGAAGCAGATCGCCAGATCCACCAACAGCAGCTTCTCCAAGGCTGCCCCCAAGGCCCTAGTAGTGGGCAAGGAGCAGGAGGCCAAGAGCAGCCTGCTGGTTACCACCAGCCAGAAGTTCAGGAAGAGCCCCACAACAGGCTTGGCCACCCGCAAGAACACGGACCTGGCCCAGTCTGACATCAGTATTCTCGTGCCCAAGAGCCCCATCAAGGGCAGTACCGCGGTGGATGGCTTTCAGGACAATAGCTCCAAGAGGCTGGACCCCTTGGAGCAGGGGCCAGAAGACACAGCAGACACGGAGGCCGCAGCCCAGAAGCCAGGTAGGGCCCCTTCTGGGCCCAGGGGGTGATGCTGGTGTGAATGGGGAGTCGGGAGCGGATACACCTGCTGGTGCAGCAGGCGATGGCCCCGTGATGGCGGCCACAGCAACTGGGCTGGCCGTGAATGGGAAAGGCACCTACCCATTCATGGACGCCCTGATGGCCTATGGGACTACCTCCCTACAAACGACAGTCACGGCCGTGACGTCTGGGAAGAAGTTCATCGAGAACAGGCGAGAACAGCCTTTGACAAGCTGCTTAGCATCCACGTGCGGCAGACGGAGAGTTCCTCCAGGTTCTGGGATATCACGGTCCAGAAGCAGGACGGCTTCACCATCATCCTGCTGTCCACCGAGTCATCTGAAAACAACTCGTGAACCCGGAGGTGATGAAGGAGCTGCAGAGTGTGCTGAGCATGGCCGGGGCCAATGGCAGAAAGCTAGTGCTTCTCAGCGCCGTGCGCAGCGTCTTCTGCTGAGGCCTGGACTTTGTTTACTTCATCTGGCACCTGACAGACGCCCGCAAGAAGGAGAGTGCCAGGATGGCTGAGGCTGTCAGAAGCTTCGTGAACACCTTCATCCGGTTCATGAAGCCTATTATCGTAGCCTTAAATGGCCTGGCCGTTGGGCTAGGAGCATCCATCCTGCCTCTTTGTGACCTGGTCTGGGCCAATGAAAAGGCGTGGTTCCAGACGCCCTATACCACCTTCAGACAGAGTCCAGATGGCTGTTCCACGGTCATGTTCCCCAAGATTATGGGAGGAGCATCTGCCAATGAAATGCTGCTCTGTGGGCGGAAGCTAACGGCACAGGAGGCGTGCGGCAAAGGGCTGGTCTCCTGGGTGTTCTGGCCAGGGACTTTCACCCAACACGTCATGGACCACATCAAGGAGCTCGCCTCTTGCAAACCCGTTTTCTGGAGGAATCCAAGTCCCTTGTGCACTACAACATGAGGCTGGAGCTGGAGCAGGCCAAAGAGCAGGAGTGCGAGGTGCTGAAGAAGATCTGGAGCTCAGCTCAGGGTATGGATTCCATACTCAATTACCTGCAGAATTAGATCGACGAGTTTTGACAACCGGGCCTCCCGACCTCACCAGGCTGGTTCGCGTGGGGCCTCACAGCCCGGACCAGACTCGCCCGGACCTCTCGTTTGGAAGCATGACTTGAGATAGCCAAGCTCTGTATTTCCAAGGAGTTTTTAACTACTGTAACTTTAAAATAAATAATTACAAAACTCCTTTGTCCAAATGTCATTATTTTATGCTTAATACATACACAAGTGTAAAAGTATAATGGTGAGCTCTGGGCTGCTGTTTGAGGCTCTAATTTTTGTATCTTCAGCTAGAACTGTATATATATACACATATAAAAAGTGTGTTTTCTTGGTTTGGGTGCCAGAAAAGTCTGAATGAATGTTTGTTTTCCCTTGTTTTTCTCCTTCTGGAAGCAAAAAGAGAGGTGTTAGCCAGCCTCACCATCCCCCTCTCCTCCAATCGAAATATGGAAAGACCTGAGATGTGCCCTTATCTCTAAGAGGTCCAAATCCTCAGAAATCGAAAATTAAATGGAAGACTTATCTTTTACGATGAGTACTTCTGGTTAAACAACCATTGATGGGCATACACCCGAAGTAAAACACGCCTGGGATCAATGCTGAGTTATCAGTTGATTGTTCCCTCTTTTTAAATGACTGATTCTTACCCAGTTAACAGGAAGAAACAAATATCTCTAGGGGAAAGCTTGTTTTGCAGTATTAGTGAATCACTGACTAGCTTCAACATGGTATCTTAAGTAATAAGTTAATCTTAGCAGCTTTATAATTATTTTTTCAACCTTCTGAAAAATAACTACATGAGTGCATTTTGATGTTCGGTGACAACTATGACTTTATATACAGTTTTGGTTATCTATTTGCAGACACACCAAAAATAAAAAGTATTTTTATGCTTTTAAAGTGTAATTTTTAGTTTCGACTAGAATATATTTTATTTAATAACTTAAAATTCTTTTGGCACACTATTAAATGCAGAAAATCCTTTTTAAGAGAACTACCTTGTTATATCGACATTTCATGTTCTTGGTGTCTGCTTTCACTTCTACACAGTATAATAAGTACAGGATGCTGTCTGAGAGTGCCATGTGTAAATAAACATCCACATTCCTGCCAGGGGTGGGGATGACTCCAGAAGCCTGTCCCCTGGTAGGCTTCTGAACTTGCAATCATATGGAATGTATGGAGAGTGAAATAAAATCAAAGCCTTACTGTTGGACAGTTTTGAAGTTTCTACTTAGAAATGACCACTTTGCAGGCTTTCAGAGAGCTGACAGAATGTAAATCTGCTTTTACTTGGATTGCTTGGTGCAGTATTTTTTATCTGTGGAATCTACTTTATTTGTTCTGTAGTTTGGAATATATATAAGCTGTACAATCTGTAAAGTTTTGATGGAATGAATATTCAGCTGTGAAAACCAGTTAAATAAAACATATTTCTACACACACACACACACACACACACACACACACAAAGACTAAATGCCTAAAGTGACGGGGAAGCCAAAAGGCTCTAGCACAATTAGGAAATAGCCATTTCCTTGTCCAGGATGAAAAGATGAAGAACTCCTATCATCTGAGGTCCAAAAGAAGTGTCAAGTTGAGTGAACCCACGCACACTCAACTTGCCCATTGACACCACCCCATAGACACACTCCCCTTTCCGTGTCTTGCACATGCCCCCTCTTGGTCACACTCCCTCTGCTGAAGCCATCAGTTCAAAACATAACTACCCTCTTCCCCAAAGTAATGTCATTCTTTGTTTCTTCTTTTGTTTTCTCCAGGTCACCAGGGTAAGTGTGAGGGTAAATAAGCACATTCAATCAAAGCTGACCAAGAAAGCTTCTCAAAAAGCTCCCACCTCAGAGAATCTTAAGAACATCAGAGGCTCAAAACTCTGTAGCCAGTATTCCATGGTGAATGAAGAGCTGAATCAGAATAAACTGGAAGAGGCCCCAGAGATCCTGGAGACTCCTGCCATTCCTGCTGGACAAATGCACAGCCAGTGACTTCAGAACATGGTTAGAGATTTCAGAATTCTTTGGGGTCTCACTCCTGAAAAGTGGCCAACAGGACAGACATTGAATCTTATACCAACAGCATACATTAATAATGGCATTTGAATAAAATCAACCTGATGTGAAATCATGTGTGTCTCTGAGTTTTCTGTGTCGGGCAGAAAGGGCAGAGAAAGGATAAGTGTGTGAAGAGGGAGGGAGATGGTTCCTGTGCAGTTGGAGAGAGGAATAGAAGGTCCATTTAGCTGGAAAGTATGGGGCAGAACTGTGTTCAGACTGAGCCCCAAAGATACACTTCCCAATGGAGAAGAGGAAGAGGATGTGGTTTTTCTGTATGTGAGTGCAGGGGTGGGAAGTTAGCTGGGGGCTGTGTCATGGGGTGGGGCAGCAATGCCATTTGCTAAAAAGCATCAAAGAAGTTCCTCCTAGGATACCTACCTCATAGCAGTGTTTATTACATCGCAAGATAGGATGTCAACAACTGACAGCGTTAAAAACTCAAACTTGCTTACTAAAAGACTGTCAGTAGGAATGAAACAATGGTGATTTTTAGTATAGAGATTTCACAAAAAGCTAAGATGGAACAACACATGACCTAACACTTTCACTATTGGATATATATAAAACCACCCCCACAACTTTAATCAAAAAGGCACATGTATCCCAAAGTTTCCTGAAGCACACCATTCACCAACGTGGAAACAATCTCACTGTCCATTAGATGAGAGACAGATGAGTGGATAAAGATTTGGTATATGTGTACAAAGGAACACTTGTTTTATGCAGTCACTAAGTCATTTCCCACTCTTGGGGATCTTACGGACTCTACCCTCTCAGACTCCTCTGTCCATGGGATTTTCCAGGAAAGAACACCCAGTGGGTTGCCATTTTCTTTTCCAAGGGATCTTCCATACCTAGGTTTTGAACCCACATCACCTCCTTGACAGGCAGATTCTTTCTCACTGAGCCACCAAGGAAGAACTGTGGAATATTACTCAGCCATACAAAGAATGATATTAATACCATTTGCAGCAACATGAGAGGTATAATACTAAGTAAAATAAGAAAGACAAGTACTCTGTGGTATCACTTGCAGAATCATAAAACCCCACAAAATGGAGAATATAATGAAAATAGAGGTTCACAGTTACATAGAACATTGACTATTTACCAGCAGATGGGGAGAGGGGATGGGGAAATACAGAGGTGGTGGAGTGTAAGGCACATAGTTAGGTGTAAACTGAGTTCAAGGATGTATTTTACAACATGGGGAATGTTGCCAGTATTTTGTAATAACTCTAATTGGACAGCAAATTTTATCAGTTGTATAATAAGAAAGAATAGGAAAGAAAATGGGAGGTAGCAGGGAAGAAAGGAAGGAAAGTAATGGCGGTTTTTGGAAGTCACAAAGGCATTATTGCTTAGGCCCTTTTAAGCTAAGGACTTTAGATGGAGCAGTGACCATTCACAGATGGATCAGGGGGAGCGGCCCACATCCAGTGCAGTCAATGCTGGGGTGGGGGGGGGCATTGCCCACAAGGAGTTTGCTTACAAGAATAAAACCAAGTAAAACCTGATTCTGTTTGTATTAATATCTCCATACTCCAGTATTCTAAAATAATGTCAGTAATTATGTTTCCTCTGCAAATTCAAATTTCAGTGGCTTAAGTTTTAAAAGTGTGTTGTCATTTATGTAAGATTTTAATATTTTATTTATTATTCACAAGGAACACAATTTTAGTATATAAATATACATATAAATTAGTATACATGCACACATATGTGTATATATATGTGTGTGTGTGTGCATGCATATGTGTGTGACATCAGTTTTAGCACTTATCTTTAAAACTTCTTTGTCTTCTATGAAGGAGTTAATTAAGAGAAGACATTGTTAAACAGTTGTTGCCATCACAAGCTGCCATGTTTACCACTGCTCCATTCTACAGAGCGTCCTTAAAGGGTTGGAATGCCTTGAGACCACTTCCTGCATAGCCTGCAGTCCCTGAGGGAATGTACTACTAACATACTCCTCGTTCAAGACATTGATTCGAAACACACAGTGATACCACAAAGATTGTCAAGGTAAACACACACAATGTGCTTTTATTTACCACTGAATCAGTGAAACAAAGTAGTAACTGCTGGGTACAATTTTTTTAGCTTGAAAAGAGCAAAACTTATATTGGAACATTAAGTATTCTGTTGAATTTGAAAAATATGTTTTAAAGTGATATTCATGCCTAATTGTCAGTTACTTTCAGACTACGGGAAAAGTAAAACAAGACGAAAAGCAAAATAAAGTTATATTCATTGGGGCTGCTTAAACTGTATTTTTGCAAATTTTTTGTTTAATTCCCTTTTAATTTTACAGTCTTAATTATATATACAATGATTAATAGATTTTATACTATGTTTATTTTCTGGACATTTTATTTCATTAGTTTATTAATGTAACTAGAAAGATTTTCTATTGAGTGAGTATTAAAACTTATTCCTCTCCCTTGTGTTGAACACACTGTTTGCAACACTGTTGGGAGACATTTTGTTGCCTAAAATATTTTATAATTCAGCTCTAGTGTCTACTTTTTAGAATAATTCAGCTCTAGTGTCTAGGCATTTTCTTTCACTTTGTCTAGGGTGATAATTTTCTCATGTATTTCTGGTATCTTCAGAGTTTCTGTCAGGAATGTGTTTCTGTTGCTGATTAGTTGCTCAGTTGTCTCCAACTCATTGCCACCTGATGAACTGTAAGCCCACTAGTCTCCTCTGGCCTTGGGGATTCCCCAGGCTAGAATACTGAAGGAGGTTGCTATGGTCTCCTACGAGGGATCTTTCTGACCCAAAGATGGAATTCGTGTCTGCTATGGCTCCTGTATTGCAGGCAGATTCTTTACCGTGGAGCCAAAATATATCTTGTATACATGACACACACTATAATTATGAAGATTCT